CATTCAACACTGGTTTTTTCTTATTTTCCCCGTGCTCAGGGAACACAAATTAGCATTTTTAGAAGACGAAAAAAATTGTAGAATTTTTTTTTTCTCGCGCACGGGTGTAAATCTTCTCAGGACCCCTTAGCAGCTTAAGGGTTTGACGTTAGGTCCTCAGACATCATTATTCCCAAATCCTTTACATGCTGCTTTCCTACTGTGGGCAGACTTGATTGTGTTTTGTACCCTGTATTATGTTTAAGGTCCTCATTTTTACCGTACCTGAGTACCTGGGGCCAGATTCATGAAAGCACTTACGCAAGCACTTACAAATCTTAACATCTTTCCTCAATCTTTGGCGGCTTTGTTTACAATTATTAAACAGTTAATGAGCTCCGAAGCACCAGGAGGCTGTTTATAACAATAATAACAGTTGATTGGCAAGTTTTCATGCTTGTAAACTGTTTAATAAATGTAACCAAAGCCGTCAAAGATTGAGGAGAGATGTACACGTTCGTAACTACTTGTGTAAGTGCTTTCGTGAATCTGCCCCCTGGAATTTATCACTGTTAAACATTGTTATTTTCTGTTACCCAGTCAAAAACTTGATTAATATCTGCCTGAAGTTTTTCAATGTCTTCAGCAGAGGTAATTTTCATGCTTATTTTTTTGCCATCCACAAAGAATGATATGAAGCTGTGACTTGTATTTTTGTCTATATCTGATATGAGAATAAGGAAAAGCAGTGGTGCAAGGACTGTACCCTGAAGTGCAGAGCTTTTTACTGCCCCGGGGCTCGATTTTATATGGTTGACTGTTACTGTGTTCTGTTCATCAGAAAGCTGAGTATCCAGCATCCTACTTTACCAGTTATTCATATTGACATCATTTTGTGTGCTATCACATTCACATTGACCTCATTTTGTGTGCTATCACTCTGTGGTCACATTTACCGAATGCCTTTGCGAAGTCCGTGTATACCACATCTGCATTCTGTTTTTCTTCTAGTGCCTCAGTGACTTTGTTGTAGTGGTCAATTAGATGAGAGGCACGATCTTCCCGCTCTAAACTCATGTTGGCTTGGGTTGTGAAGGTCATTGGTCTCCATGAATATGGTGACCTGACTCCTGATCACTCAAATACTTTTATTATGTGGGATGTTAGTGCAACTGGTCTATAATTCTTTGCCGGTGCTTTGCTCCCTCCATTGTGTAGAGGTGGCATTGTCTGCTGATTTAAGCACATCTGGCATCTCCTCTGTGTCCAAGCTCTTTCTCCACATTATACTGAGTGCCTGTGCTACTGGCACCTTACATTTCTTTATAAATATTGAATTCCATGAATCTAGACCCAGAGCTGAGTGCATGGGCATGTTTTCAATTACTCTTTCAAAATCTGCCACGCTCGTGTTGATATCAGTTATATTTACAGGGGTTTGGATATCACCATAAAGAAGTTGTCAGACTTTTTTACTTTCATGCTGTTTATCGGTGTGCTAAAAATGTCCTCACACTACTTTTTTAGGATTTCACAACTTTCTTTACCTCAGTGTATGAACCTTCACTTATACAGATAGGTTCAGTACTGGTTGTGGTTTTGCTTTTGATCTTGTATGCTTGAAGAAATAGTGTTTTTCTTTGGTTTTTTAATTACTTTTTGTTCTAGTTGTCTTTCTTTAATGCGATTTGAGAGTTTCAGTTTCTGCTCGATTTTTCAATCTCCCTCTTTAAATTATTCCTTCTTTGTAGGGAAAGTTGTGTCTGCTTAAGCATTTCCGTTATTTTTTCCTTCTTTTATAGTGTCGTCAGTGTTTCTTTCTACGTTGGTCCTCTTTCTGACTTTCCTCAAAGAAGCATGTTTCAGACAGACTTGATATGCTTCCAAAGTCAGTTTTTCTTCTCCTTCTGTAGGATTTTTATTACTTAGAATAGTTTCCAGTGGAATATTTGGTAAGTTTCCTGTTTATTTTCTCCCATTCTATTTTTTTTTATTATTAAAAATGAATTTACTGAATAACCCCTCTTGCTTGATCATTGTTTTAGGTTTATTCTGAGTATTAATGGTAGTTTGCTTTGAGCTTGAGTTTCAATGAGCTTGTGATCTGAGTATGTGGTATCTGAGATCATAATGTCCCTGGTTATGTCTTCATTGTTTGTGAAGCTTGTGTACAGCAAGATAATTGTTGCACTTGAGTCTGTCAAGAACTGCATGAGGCATTGTTGCTGGCACCCTATGCATCACAACCCTGCCATCCACTCCATATTTCACCAGTAGTTGCGACACTAGAACAGCACTGAATGTATGGATTGGTGGTCTCTTGCCAGATTTCACGAGATGTGTGTTGAAAGAGTTCAGCACTGTAACGTCAACAAGGTGGTAAAACAATTCCTTGGTCTGCTTTACAGATTTTCTCACGCACTCAACTGCATCAACCATCATGTCACATTTACTGTATCTATTAAACACAAATTTACATTGTAGTCTATAACACAATCAGGTTTATACAAATTCACCTTTGTTGCAAAGTTCACTTTGCCACTGTCTAACATTGCACCTGTGTGGATAGTTGTCAACATATTCACCACTCGTCTGTCCTTCCAGCGCACAGTTACCATTTTATCACACTTTCTCATCTGGCATTCATCCACTGCAATACCAATGCCAAACACTGGCATTTCCCTCTTGTGTGTCTTGATAGTGCTGCATATGCTGGTGTTATGGTCAGGTTATCTTGAGATGATTTTGGGGCTTTAGTGTGACCGCGTCCCAGTCCTCGACTAGGCCTCCACCCCCAGGAAGCAGCCCGTGACAGCTGACTAACTCCCAGGTACCTGTTTAGTGGTAGGTAATAGGGGCATCTGGGTGAAAGAAACTCTGCCCGTCGTTTCTCGCTGGGATCGAACCCGGGACCACAGGATCACGCGTCCAGTGTTTTGTCCGCTCAGCCACCAGCTCCCAGTCAAGGAGGAATCTGGTCAGCAAGGGGCTGGTATAGTAGTTGTCTGTGTACAGAATATCCTCCTTGTTCAGTAATGGTTCCATGAGTGTTTTCTAGACACTGCCAGAAAGCCATTGTGGATCTTGACCTGGTATGTCAGTGTCCGTACCAGAATACAATATCATGGCAATACCAGTTTCACAGTCACATAACCTGAAGAACTCTAGTATACACCTGTGTCGCTTTGATGGTATGTACTAGTACTGTTTGAACACAAGTCGTCCCTTGGAAGAGAACTAGCGATTCATCAGCACGTCATTCTGTCCTGGTAAAAAATAGTCACTGAACTTTCCTCTCAATTCACTGAATATTTTCCACACTTTCCACAGTCTGTTGTGTCTGTTTTCATTATCATTGTTCTCAAAGGTCAGGCACCTGAGAAGCAGCAGGAACCTATTGCATGATATGTACCTGTTGAACAAGGGGGTTTGCACAATACTGTCTTTGTTCCATTAATCCTGGATCATTAGTTTTTCTACATGCCTCATCATAATGCACAGTGCTAAAAACACCTTTCCTCAACAGTCATGTCTTTCTAACGTGTCACTCGAGAGGCAGGTAAAATTCTAATGGCAAAGAGTTGCAGAGCATATCGGTTCGTCGGCATTGAGATGCTCCATGAATGGCTGATCTAAATATGCCATAAAATAATAAATTTCAGTGATATCTTCACCACTATAGGGCAATGTCAATGTCAAACCAACATTGGTATTATCAAATGCTGAAATTTGTTGGAAAAAATTGTCAAAATCCTCGCACACAAGTACACCCCGTGTTTCTTGTCTTGGCGCCAACATCACAGCCTACACTAGCATGAGCACCACCAGCATGGGCGCCAACAACACGGCTCCGTCGTTTTGTGCTAGAGCTGCATATGGCAGGAGACGAGGCTCTTCTGTGTAGTATAGGCCTACCACAAACACCTGATGTTGAGGGCCTACTGTCGGTCATCTGTCCTCAGGCCACATGACATGCTGGTGCTTGCCTCAGCGTGTTGCTGGGGCAGCAAAGTCTTCCCTAGTAACACCTTAGCTGCTTTCACTCGGTTCATCATTGCTGCTTGAATTTGAACCAATGTCAATGAACCCAGAAAACGACTCGCTCGAAAACAAAACGATCACATAGTAGACACACATCAGATGGTGATGGTAAATCCACTGGTGTTGACCTTAGGGGCACGACAGGGAAGCGAAATGCGTGTACTGTTCACACACTCCACATCGTCCACCTTATTGTCAGTATTACTAGTGTCAGACAATTTTTTTTCAAAATGCCGGACACTCACTGGAGTCAGGCCTCCATCTCGTACCCAAGTGACCATGTGCCAGTTTTGAATCCTATGATATACTCACAATCACCATATTGCACTCTACGCACCCTCCATCCAGCACCTTAAGCGCACCCTACGTAGTGCAGTGGTTAATTAATTAGAGTAGTAGACCAGGGATGTATAATTCAGTCACCTTTATGCAATCTGCATTTACCTTATTTGGACATCAAATGTGATGGAAATGTTTGTGGTGTAAAATTCAGAAATTTGTATACAGGTAATGTAAGAGCACGTTGGGTTATTTATGCAAGTTACGTAATCAACCTCATTAGTTGTATTGCTAAATCATTTTCCAACAGAGGTACAGAATATTAGGAAGCAGATTATCATATACCGTATTTAATTGCTTGCACAACAAGATTATATATTAAATGATGAGTAGTTAATAATAGCTTCACACATGTAAAACAAAGGCAGAATTTGTGCATATAAAAAATTCTGGTGACTGACTTTGAGGAATACATTGGTGGTGCATCTGCCCTCATCAGGAAGTGTGCGTATTACACAGCTGTGGAAAGACATGATACAAACACATTGACAGGATTAGTCCTGAAACAATGGACATGGGTTCATATCCTTTTGATTTTTCATCCTTAGGCCTGAAATATGTTAGTGTATTTTTATTTAAATTAGTTCAAGTATGTTTATTGTACTGTACCACCCTAATTATAAACATTTTTGTGTGTTTAGGTGGGGCCCGATATGCCATGCCTTGATGGAGACGGCCCAGATGACCGAGCTGAGGTAATTGAAAAGTCTGGAGTTTTACTGATTACAGTTTCTCAGGAAACGTCCTTTTTGTTGATTGTAGACAGATGCACTGCATAATTGATTGATATAGAAGTTTTTGTAGGGTTATTGTATTCCAGTCATTGAGTGCCTTCCATTTAGAGGTAAACTTAACAAGATAATGAGTTCAATTAATGTTTATGAACAATAATATCCAAGGTTGCTTCCCGAACCAGCATCCAAATTCCAGCTATGACACTGCAAAGATTCCAGGCTTCTGTTGTCATTATGCATTATGCATTCTGTTGCATTCATTGCATTATGACAAGAAATGTTTAAAATAGTCTTGCCATGTAATTGACCTTTAAAGTGCAGCTTTGGATATTCACGCTTGTCCGCCCATGCTCGAAAAACAACAAATTAAAAAAAAAGATAATAATTTGTTATAGAATGATTAATTTGAACACAAACCATAAGGAAAAGTTGAAATAACATAAATATCTACTGTACTTGTGTAGTAGTTAGGTGAGGTGGAGGAGGTTGGTGGGTGGTGTGCTCATGTAGGTGTGTCAGACCCAGACCTCATGTGCTTGCTGCAACCCGTTCTCGCAAATTTAATAAGTCAATATTGACTTATTAAATATGTGCATAGGTGACATACTTAACATAATAGATACCCTTAAAAAGATTCATAGAAAACACCAACCTTACCTAACCTTGTTAGTATCTTAAGATAAGCATCTTATTGCTTCGTAATTACAATTATTACCTAACCTATAATAGGTATAGATTAAGTAATAATTGTAATTACGAAGCAATAAGATGCTTATCTTAAGATACTAACAAGGTTAGGTAAGGTCGGTGTTTTCTATGAATCTTTTTAAGGGTATCTATTATGTTTAGTAAATCACCTATGCACGTAGTTAATAAGTCAATATTGACTTTACGAATTTGCGAGAACGGGTTGGCTTGCTGACACACCGGCATGTGGCAGAGTACTCCAGGGTTGACCTTGGATGTTTTTACAATGGTTTCTTCACATTTTAGTTCAATTGCTATATTACAGTATTGGTGCTAAAGAACTAGATTTATGTAACTTAGAAACATGGACTGAATACATTGCTAACTGTAAGGATAATGTCTTTAGGTCTACAATGAATGTATGAATGAATATAGCAATGTATGAGTGAATAAATAAATGTATGTATGTATACAGTGTGTGTGTGTGTGTATATGTATGTATGTACAGTATACTGGCAGCAGGTTTTCTTTAAACATGTATCATATATGCAACTGCAAACTCACACCCCAGAAGTGACTCGAACCCATACTGTGATTTGATAAAATACCATGCCCAAGATTACCAACAAAGTGCTGGCGGAAGGATGGGGAATTAGCCTCGGCTACCATCCTCTTTTGTCTAGTCGTGTTGGTCGAGAGGATAAGGGATCATGTACATCAGATGCATTGCTTCTGGCAGTATGGGTTCGAGTCACTTCTGGGGATGTGAATTTTTAGTTATATATATATATGTCGTACCTAGTAGCCAGAACGCACTTCTCAGCCTACTATGCAAGGCCCGATTTGCCTAATAAGCCAAGTTTTCCTGAATTAATATATTTTCTCTAATTTGTTTCTTATAAAATGAGAAAGCTACCCATTTCATTATGTATGAGGTCAATTTTTTTTTATTGGAGTTAAAATTAACGTAGATATATGACCGAACCTAACCAACCCTACCTAACCTAACCTAACCTATCTTTATAGGTTAGGTTAGGTAGCCGAAAAAGTTAGGTTAGGTTAGGTAGGTTAGGAAGTCGAAAAACAATTAATTCATGAAAACTTGGCTTATTAGGCAAATTGGGCCTTGCATTGTTGGTTGAGAAGTGCGTTCTGGCTACTAGGTACGACATATATATATATATATATATATATATATATGTCGTACCTAATAGCCAGAACGCACTTCTCAGCCTACTATTCAAAGCCCGATTTGCCTAATAAGCCAAGTTTTCATGAATTAATGTTTTTTCGTCTACCTAACCTACCTAACCTAACCTAACCTAGCTTTTTTTGGCTACCTAACCTAACCTTACCTATAAATATAGGTTAGGTTAGGTTAGGTAGGGTTGGTTAGGTTCGGTCATATATCTACGTTAATTTTAACTCCAATAAAAAAAAATTGACCTCATACATAGAGAAAAGGGTTGCTTTATCATTTCATAAGAAAAAAATTATAGTAAATATATTAATTCAGGAAAACTTGGCTTATTAGGCAAATCGGGCCTTGAATAGTAGGCTGAGAAGTGAGTTCTGGCTACTAGGTACGACATATATATATATATATATATATATATATATATATATATATATATATATATATATATATATATATATATATATATATATACATATATATATATACACATACATATATATATATACATATATATACATATATATATATACATATATATATACATATATATATATACATATATATACATATATATATATATACATATATATATATATACATATATATATATATACATATATATGTGTATATGTCGTACCTAGTAGCCAGAATGCACTTTTTGGCCTACTATGCAAGGCCCGATTTGCCTAATAAGCCAAGTTTTCCTGAATTAATATGTTTTCTCTAATTTTTTTCTTATGAAATGATAAAGCTACCCATTTCATTATGTATGAGGTCAAATTTTTTTATTGGAGTTAAAATTAACGTAGATATATGACCGAACCTAACCAACCCTACCTAACCTAACCTAACCTATCTTTATAGGTTAGGTTAGGTTACACACACACACACACACACACACACACACACACACACACACACACACACACACACACACACACACACACTTCAAAACACATGATTCAAAAGGTGACACCCCTAGGGTCAACACTTGCAGCAGAGGAGCTCCAGCATATTTCAACAATCCTAAGTATTGTAGTACAGGTTGATGGTAGTGAGTGGTGTCCCAGAGAACATAAAGGTATAGTGCTCTTGAAAAATAGGTGAGATAACAGGAAAGTGCTAAGGGAAGTGAAAAATCGGATGAGAAAAAGTTGCCCTAGTGTTTACAGTGCAGAGAAGAACATTCAAGATGGCCACTGGCAAGGGGAAAAACAAAACAGAGCTTGATTTTGAGGGATTCAATGAAGAAAGCATTGATATTAGTAGTCTACATAACAAGTTGGTAAATTTAGATACTATAGTGAACTCTCATGTAGAAATAATTAGTAAATTGAAAGAAAGTAATGACCATTTGAATAGCAAAGTTTTATGTCTTGAGGGTTTAGTGAAAGACTTGCGCAAGGATAAGAATCAATTGGAAACAAATTGCAAAGCCATGGAAGAAGAAAATAAACTCTTAAAAATAGCTTTGGAAGAAGTTAAAGTAAATTTAAACATAAATGACTACAATAGGTTAGGCAAGGAAATTCAACAGGAGAAACAGCTTTTGTCAGCACAGATGGAGGAAGTTACACAGGGAATAGAACAGTGCAAGAAAGATATGCAACTCACTTATGCACAAGTGGCCAAGGAGAAGGAAAAAATAGAAGAAGCAGTAAAGGAAGTCAAACACTGCAGCAACCAAGATAAAACAAACATTAGGCTAGAAGTGAGGAAAGAATTGGCATCTAACCCGAAGTTGGTGCAAAACACAGTTGATCGGAGTAAGTCCCTGATCATTTTTGGCTGCAAAGAAAAGGCGATAACATCTAGGTCAGAAAGAGCTGTAGAAGAAGCTAAAGTAGTAGATAAAATTGTTGGCCTCGTGGAAGGTCTTACAAACAGAGAGAATGTGTGCGACTACAGGAGAATAGGCAGGTACGTAAAAGGGAAAGATCGACCTTTGAGGATCACCCTAAACGGTGCCAAACAGATGGAAGAAGTACTAAGGAATGCTAGAAAATTGCAAAGGGATGAGGATGGGAAAGGGTGGTCGTTAAGACGAGATCTTTCAAAAGAAGATAGAGAGAAGCTGAAACTGAACCTCGCCGAGGCAAAACATTTAAATGAGAGCAGGAATGAAGAAGAAATAAATTCTTTTTTCTACAAAGTGATAGGGGTAGGCAAACCAGTAAAGTGGTACATAAAGGCAAACCAACAAAATCAATAGAGAGAGGGGGAGTGAAGAATAAGGAGAGGGGGAACAAGTTCCTGAAGATTGCATACACCAACATAGATGGAGTGAGATCGAAGATACTGGAGTTAAGTGATGTAATACAGCTGCAGACACCAGACATTGTTGCACTCACGGAGACAAAACTTGAAGATGTAATTTTAAATGAGGTCATATTCCCAAGGGGCTACTCAATTTGGAGACGGGACAGAAAAATTAGGAAAGGCGGTGGCGTTGCTGTGCTGGTAAAAGAACACCTAAAGGTGAAGGAAATAATGACTGCCAATCCACAAGAAGTTGACATAATAGCACTAGAGATCTGCTATGAGGATGATAAACTAATGATGATAAATGCATATAGTCCACCGCCAAGCAGCACATGGTCAAAGGAGGAGCTAGATAGTAAACGTGAAGGTCTTATAACAATAATGAGAGAGATTATAGCGAGAGCGGATAACGATAGATCACGACTGTTGATAGTCGGTGACTTCAACTTGAAATCCATAGACTGGGAAGCATATGAAGCTAAAACAGAAGATTTTTGGACCTGTAAATTTGTAGACCTCATCCTGGAAACATTCTTGTATCAACATGTTAAACAAGCTACGAGGATGAGGGAAGGGGACGTTCCCTCCATGCTAGATTTGATATTTACCAGGAAGGAGGAAGAGATATTTGACATTCAGTACCTTCCTCCCTTGGGTAAAAGTGACCATGTCTTTTTGGGAATAAAGTATGCAATGCGTTATAAGCTGGAAGAAAATAAGGAGGTTGAAGCAGTTGAAAAACCAGACTTCAGGAGAGGACATTATGGTGACCTTAGAAATTTTTTTAGTGAGTATAATTGGACAGACTTGATGC